ACGCGCTACTCGACCTTTCGTCCGACTTATCCGGCCAACTTCGCTCACCTATCGTCGATCCAACCGTGAAAACGCTCACGCTGGATCGCAGTCTGTTTATACAGCGCGTCGCGACGAACGATCTCTTTAACCCCTTCCATTTTGTCACGCGCAGGCGTAAGTACGCATTTTTGAAAGAGCCGAACCGGTTCTCGTTGCACGTCAACCACTTGCTTGTGTTTCTCTCTGCCTCTCTGCCTCTCTCTCTCTCTCCCTCTCTCTTTTACTTTTCGTGCCTCGAATAAAAGACGTTTCGTCGCTGCAAGCGACAAACTCGACGCAGCTAAATTATTCCGTCTCTAGGGCGATCTCGGTATACGTATTTTTTTAGCCCAAGTACGTTCGATCTCCAGATTCTTACACATCTACGTCCAAGTCGAAGCTCGTACGACGCTCCGATAATAAACTTTACGAGCGTTTCTAATCCGAGAGGTAGCGCAGGTCGACTTCTCGATCAAAGTTCGAACGGGTTGTATTTAAAAGTCGTTGCATGTCACCGAATCGCGTAATCTGTTTTGACGCGATAGTTACCCGACAAGTTTCAGCTTCTCGACAAAGTAGCGGGAAAGTTTCGAGAACGTAACAACAGGCTACCAAGTAAAATATCGTCGAAACGTATCACAGCCAACTAGCTGCATCGGATCGTCGTCGCTGTAGAACGGGTAACTCGCGAAAGTCTCGAGAACGACGTAATCCCTCGATGCTCTTGATACCCATCGCAGTGTCGTGTCGTGCAGCACGATAACGGTTTTTCAAAGTCGGTGGAGTTTTTGTTATTAGCCTGTTAGCTTCAGCCGCGAGAAAACACGAAGGACGATGGGGAGGAAAATGGGTGGTGAAGGGTTGGTGCTCGGTATCACGGCGTTACGTCGCTTTATCACGTACAATGCCACTTTATAAAAGACTCGCGCTTTTCTGTCCGGCTTTCGTATGCAGGTCGCGGTTGTTTTCCTGGCCATGTTGGTCTGCGTCCTGGCAGAGAAGTACACGACGAAATACGACAACATCGACTTGGATTCGATCCTCAACAGCGATCGTCTACTCAACAACTACGTAAACTGCCTGCTGGACGCCGGAAACTGTACACCCGACGGCAAGGAGCTTAAACGTGAGTCGATCCTTTAACGTTAACTTTAACTTTTAACGCCACCACCTACACCTGGCCACCGTGCCGCCCTCGTTCGTCTCCAATTACATCGGCCGATCGGCGCACTGTCCTACGAGCGAAACAACCGTTTCCTCGCGTTCTTCCTCTCGAATCGGAGAACGTCAGGCGACGATTAAGCCGCGCAGGGAGTTATCTCTGGCTTTTCATTTTGCCGGAAACTATAAACCAGGTAGATGTAATTGCACGACGATGGAACGATACCGGTACCGATCGCATACGTTTGTCGTCAATGACAGACATAAACTCTACAGTTTACGAACACGAAATACGCGGAACTGTCAGTGAAATAACGGAAAATGCGGGAATAAGAGGAAGCAGGGATCGGTACACGGGACGAACGAAAAGGAAGATTTTCGTAAGAACGTAGCGTCGTGCCGCGATATAAATTGCAGACGAAAGTAGCAGGCAAACGTCTCGGCGTATTTTTCTATTTCACAGATCTCTGCCTTAACCCGACTATCCTTTCCCTCGGCGCGGCTTGTTTTATCGCGCAGACTCTAACGTTCCCCGTTACTTGGTCTTAGGGGACCTCTTGCCTCGAAATCCAATAAGCAACGTCCTCTACTTCCTATTTCTCCTGGTTGTTTTCGTTTCTCGTTTTCTTCTCATTCCCGTCCTGGCGGTCGCGCACCAACGAAACGTGCAGCTACTCGCGCGTCCGCCGTCTCTTCCGGTTTC